TAAGCAAAGACTTAAAATTTATTTTATGTCACATTTTTGCCTAAGAATATAATTCATGAGGTTATTAAGTCCAAGCTCACATACCATATTTATCTCTTTTGATTCTTTGAAGAAGATATTTATGAAATGGTAAAGCTCAAACATTTTATTCTTTTTAATTATTTTATTATAAATACTATACCAGAGGGTTCTTCTTATTAATGACCTTTTTAATTTCTTCTTTATTAAAGCTAAAGATGTATAATAAGAAAGTACAAAGAAAGAGTAGAATGAATAAGGTGGAGAGACGTAGACATTTGAAAGAAAAACTCTAACCTTGCTCTTCACTATGAGAAAAACATTCTCAGTAATTGAAAATTCCAGCTCCTCATCTTTTTACTTGTGAACATGGAAGTTCAAGACAAAATCATATAATTTTAGGAAAAATCAATAATTCTATAAAATTTCTGGTCCTTTCTTTTTTTTTTTTGGTTTTGGTTTTTCTCCGGTACCGGGAACCGAACTCACGACCTTGCGTTTGCCAGGCAGGCGCTTTTGCCGCTGAGCTAAATCCCCAGCCCCTCTGGTCCTTTCATGAACACAGAAAAGTGTTGCTGAAACAAATATGGTTTGTTGTTGTGTTCTTGATGTGTATTTAAACAAATCAGTAGGAGACCTGGAATAACCAAAAAATGTCTTGAATATTTCTGGTAAATCACTTTTCCTCCAATTATAAGAGAAGAAAGATTATTCTAATCATGGAATTTCCTTGATAAATTTCCACTACATTCTCTAGCACCCAAGGCGTGAGAAATATAACCTAAGGCCTATTGTTCTGCACAACATTTAGTCTGTCTTCTTGGTTTTCTAGCTCCAACCTAAGCCATTAATTCAACTGAGTGGGCAATTTTCTCACCACTTGGACAAGGACAGCAGTCACCCAGAACATCAGTGACAGAAATAGGGTAGCCCTTTAAGTAAGAAACACTGGGCTGTTCCTTAGGGTATTTGAGCTCCATGGTGGGATTTATTTCTTGGATTTGCCATTTGCAAAGTGCAAACAATCAGTGTTTTTCATATAGAAATATCAATACATGGACATGATAAACAAATTTTGCAGAAAAGACAGGAAAAATAGTGTAAAGACATTCTAAATGTTAATCTGATAAAATCGGGAAATGGTACACTTTTACTTCCCTTATGCTTAATTACAGAGGTTAAAAAAACCAAGTTTTGCCATAATGTCAAAAGTGATAATAAAAGAAGAAAATTTCCATCGGGCTGCTCTCTTCTCTTTTCTTGTATATTCTCTCCTTTTGGTTCCTTTTCCTTTTCCTTTTCTAAATGACTGGTAAGAGAGGAAGCATCACATTTCCAGACCTGAAATTATACTACAAAGTTACTGTGATTAAAATCAACATGGTATGGGCAAAAAGCAGGCCTGAGAATCAGTAGAACAGAAGAGAAGATGCAGACACAATCACAAACACACTCAGCCACCTTATCTTTCACAAAAGAGCCAAACATGTTCACTGGAAGAAAGATAGTCTCTTAAATAAATGGTGCTGGAAAAACTGGCTTTCCACATGTCAAAGACTGAAACTAGACCTATGTCTGTCATCATGCACTAAACTAAAGTCAAAATGGATCAAAGCTCTAAATATTAAAATAGAATCACTAAATTTACTGGAAGACAAAATAGATAGAAATCTTGAATACATGGTGTAGGCAGAGACTTCACGAACACAACCAAGACAGCAAGGGAAATAAAGAGTCAACAAGTGGGATCTCACCTTATTTAAAAAAGCTTTTTTGCAGCAGAAGAAATAACTGATACAGTGGAAGAACAACCCAAAGGGTGAGAAAAATTATAGCCAGTTGTGCTTCAGACAAAGTACTTATATCTAGAACTTATAAAGAGTTGAAAAAAATGAGACATCCCAAGTTCAAAGACCCAATCCAAAACATGGCCATCTGAGATAAAGACACACTTCACAGATGAAGAAATACAAGTGGCAAGTAAATACATGAAAAAATGTTCAACATCATTGGTCATTCAAGAGATGCAAATTAAAACAACACTGAGATTCCATCTCGCCCTAGAAAGAATGGCTATCATCACTAAGTAAACCAATAACAAATGCTGATGAAGATGTGGGGAAATATGATATCCTTCTCCACTGTTGGTGGAAGTGTAGACTTGTATAACCACTGTGGAAATCAGTGCAAATATTCTTCTAAAAAACTAGGATTAGAGGTCTCATTCAACTCATTCTCCTTCCGTGTAACTTCCCGAAAGAATGAAAAACATCACACCACATTAGTATATGTGTACCTATGTTCATGGCAGTACAAGTTGTAATAGCTAAATCTTGGAAATAACCCAAATGCCCATCAACTGAGAATGATGAAAAGATGTGGTTTTTTTTTATATAATGGAGTGCTACTCAGCCGCAAAGAAAGATAAACTGAAGACTTTTATAGGTAAATGGATGTAAGTTGAAATCATACTCATAAGCGAAATAAATCAGATTTGTAGGTGTAAACATCATGTTGTCTCACTAGTGTGAGTAACTGAATGAGTAAATAAGGTCCAAAATGTACATTAGATATTGTTTATTGGGATGAAACTTCAAAAGAAAAGACAAACTCTGATGGGGGAAAAGGAAAAGAAGGGATGGAAATACAAAAAATACATTTATACACAAGATTGTTAAGATACTTATACAACTAGTTTCTCCTAGTTCATTAAAAAAGGTTTGTGCTAATATTGTTTGGACAAGATATCTTTCCTATATCTTATACTCTGAATAACTACTATGAAGACAAAAATATGCAATGCATTAATTATTATCACTCACCTACTAACCAGTTTTGAAACTCTGTTTTGTTGTTATTTTTATTTTTTCTCTCTAAAATAAAAAGGAAGAAAAGAAAATTTCCAAAATACTAGTGGAAGAGTAATGAATGAAACACTGTTTGAATATTGAATTAGGAAAAGTGGTAGTTACATCAGATGATAGTTCATATAAGTTAATCTGTCACTGAATTGGGGACAAAAATAGAATATGTGTATTCCAGGATTTTGGAATTAAAAAGAAATGAAAAAACAAGAAATAATAGAAAAAGTAAACCACCAAAGATGTATTAACATTGACATAAAAAAGATCTACAGAGGTGGAAGTGAATTATCTTATAAACTGGCTAAACTTTCAATTAATAAGGTCCAAATTGAGTCAAAAGTCAATCTCTGATCAGAGATGAATTTCTATAAAACAAAGGTGAAAATCTTTTAAAGGTAATAAAAACTAGGTCATAGAAATAGCAACTTTTTATTCGGTAAAATAAAGATATTACAAGATATTTCACATTTAAGAAATTTTATGTGGTAAATAACAGGGTATTCATATATCAGATCAACGTTCAGTATCTTAATATGGATGGTAGTTTTACTGCTGTAAATTAGTATAGATACACATTTTAAAATGCACATTTAAAATTAGTATATTCTATATACTTAAAATTCATTGAGTAATCTTTCAATTAAAGAGAATATATGTAGCAAAAAAATTCACAGAAAAGCCTCCAAATATGCTAAATTCAAACACACATAACTTATTTTTGGTTGCCATTAGCTTATGCCTACTTTCCTATCTCAGGCAACCCAACTTTCTATAATTTTATCCCAGTAAGAATGAAGACAACGGACAACAACAATGTTTTAATGTTCCTATAATATACTATGTGAAGATAATAACTTATAAAGTAAAGAAGTTTTCGTGACTGGAAGATTTAAGCAGTGGGGCTATGGTGTCTTGATGAGGGCCTCTTTGACTATGCCACATCATGGTAGAAAAGTGGAAAGAGATGTGGCTATATATCAAGTAGACCAAGAATGTGTGGAGTTGTACTTTCATGAAAACTTACTCATTCCTTGCAGACTCAGTTTACCTCATGGCATCAGCCTTAGTCCTTTCACATGTGTGCAGCCCCTTTGACCTAATTATCTTTTACGAGGCCCTACCTTTTTAAAAAAAAAAAAAAAAAAAAAAAACTTTTATTTCTAAAATGTGACTTAATTATACTCCAAATGTGCTATGCTGGTTTTAGAAGTGATCCTGAAAGATAGAGTAACCAAAGGAAAAGCAGTCAGGGCTCCCAGTCCCAGGCACCAAGATGTCACTCTTGTGGCAACTCAGTCTCTGGAGTTTTTTCAGCTGTTTCTTGTGATGCCCAGGTGTTCGTTTTGGATTGCTCTGTGTGACAGAGAGGGCCGGCCTTGAGGAAGAGCAGTAGCCCACATTGTCTGCTTTTATGGGCTTAATAATATGGCCTGGCTTGGTGACAGCCTTGAGAGTGGTGAGCTTTTGGAAGGCCCTCTGGGTTTTCTACATGGACCCTATAGGGGTCTGGTTGGTCCTTTCAATTTGCTGATAGTGGGTGAATGGGTATTGAAGCACTCACATCTGATGAGCTGCTACATGGATGTAGTGCTTCTCATTGATAATCACATTTCATGGGCCCTCCGTCTTAAAGGTTCCACCATTTCAACTCTGCCACGCTGGAGAACAGCTTCCAATACACGAATTTTGGGGAGACAAACAATATACAAACCATAGAAAATAACAAGGTAAGGACTTAAGGGATCCACAATTCAGAATTTGTTTCTCAACTACACCATGTTTATTATAGAATATCTGTATGAGGCATTGAAACATTTATTAGGAATGTAGGTGTTTTGAAACATATAGACTAGGGATGGATTCTTTGTTTTGCCACTTACTCATTGTGGAGTCATGTGTAAGCCAACTAACCTTTTAGAATCACATTTTTTCTTCTGTAAAATGAGGATAAAATGACTTCATTTTGCTGTTTTCACAATTACATGAAATTATGATGTAAATGAAGTACAATGTTAGAACCAAAATAGGTCCTGTATAAGTGAGTTTTAGCAGTAGTGGTGGAGCCTGTTATTTGTTGCCTTTGACATCCATATTTACCAAATGTTTATTCCCTTCTAGCACTGTTACAGAAAGTGGGCTCGATGTCTATTCACAAGCTGATATGGCCATGGATCTTCAGTAATTAGGTACCTATTTTGTCATTTTTCAAAGATGATTTTTGTCTTGAAAGGCTCCTATTTGTCTTGATGAACATAACTTTATTTTAGGTTATTACCTGGATCCTAAACATTTCCCCAGGTGTCAGTAAATGGATGTATTTTAAGTTATCATTATCTGATTGTCATACTAATTATGAAGAGCTATGAGCAAAAGTTACTTCATATTTTCTGGGCAATCCAACTGAACAATTTAATCAAACTAAATTGAGACTTCATGCTTCGTGCCATTCACCCTTCACTAATTGGTAAGGTCTATGAGAGGGAATGTTAAACTCTAGGTCCTAAACCCAGTCAACTTTAGTCACTTGGTTTACTTGACCATCTTCTATTGCTATAACAAAATATCTGAGTCTAGGCATTTTATTTAAAAAGAGGTTTATTTTAGACACAGTTTTGAAGGATGAAGTCCAATACCAGGTGGCTCCATCCATTTGGGCTCTGGTAAGGACCCCCTCGGTTACATCACATCATGATTTATGGTATCATGGTGTGAATACGTGCAAGAAGAAGAGATCACTTGACAACACAAAATGCCAGGGCTTAGGGAAGGGTCAATAGTGCTGTTTTCTTACAACCTATTGTCCAGGAAACTAACTGGGGTCCCACAAGAGCTACTCAATCCCTTCCAAGCATAGTGCTCTCACAATGCCTAAATTACATAACACTAAATCCTACATCTTAAATATTCCACCAACTCAACATTGTCATGGTGGGTACAAAGCTTCCAACATATGTACTACAAACCACATCCAAACCATATCCAAACCACAGCACTTGGGAAATCATTGATGCTATTAAGCATTAAAATACTAGATTCTGGGAAAAACAATGTTCCTATAGAGACCCAAGCTAGGAAAGTAAATTTACCAGCTTTGTACAATTCTTCATAGTTCTATTTTCATATGACCCACATCAATAAGCCTCAAGATCTCACTGCTTCTTTTTCTTTGTTTTATTTTGTTTTGTTTTGTTCTGTTTTGTGTGCTGAGAATTGAACCTAGGGCCTTGTGTATGCTAAGCATATGCTCTACCAAAGAGCCACAGCCCCTAACCCCTCACACTTGTTCTTGAACCACTGCTGATAACATATTGAAGGTTTTGATGAAATTAAGTCCACATCTACGCCAGCAATCAAAGACAGGATGTATGAAGATCTGGAACACACTTTTGCTGGTAAAAACAGTTGATGTTTATGGTGAGAGTATTGGCTGATTTTCAGTATTCCTTTACTTTCTGCAGTGATGTTCAAACTTGAATGAGTTACTCAAATAATCTAATACAAGAGGACTTCGTGTTTTCAGTTTATACTATCCTTATGCTAGGTACTTCTCCCAAGTTTTTATAAATCTGCTAATACATCTACATTTTTACTTATATAAAACTTTTATCAAAAGTCATTTGGGGAGAAGAAATGGTGGAGGAAAAAGAACATAGGCCTTCTCTGCACAGGAACCATTATCAGTGACAAATCCATTTATGGACACTTAGCCCAGTTTATTGCCTCCACTGTAACTGGCTCAAGCCCATTTGATGACTGATTCTTTATCCATGCATAATTATACTGATTCCATGTTTTGTTCACAAAAATTGTGAATGTAACACGCGTTCATTTTTACATCTAATATAACATTTTCTCATTGAAGTTTCATCATTTTACTTTGCTGGTTTATTTTTTATGAGAAATGAAATCACGTGGCTTAGGAGCAAGTTACTCAGATATATCTCTGCAGGACCTCCCAACAGACTGAGTCCCGGAGGCCTGGTGGCAGGTCACAACCAGTTTCCTTCATGGTGACACATCCTTACAGACGATAGGAAGACTTAACAGTCTGACAGACACTTAAAGTGTGAAGATGAATAAAAGATACATCACTCCCCATGGGTATATAAAAAAGCTGTCAGTTGATGTAAGCCGTATTCTAAAAACATACAGTACCATAGCAGGGCTAGAAGGTGTAAGATAGAAAAAAAGGTTGGCAGATGGATCATTTTTGATAGTCAGGTCTATGTGGATGTAAAAACGCAAGTTGAAAAGGAGTTTGCTAGCTCTCATCTGTTGCTCTGCTTTGCAATCCACATTAGGAAGTTCTAATTTCTCTTTGATTTTCTTCAAAACCTATATTATTAACCAGGAGGTAGACTAGATCATGATGTAGTTGCTATGTCTAATGTGAGCAGTGACAGGTAGGGAATTCTAGACAAAATATCTCACTCATGGACTGTTGATTTCCCTGTACTCCCTTATAATTTCTTATTTGGAAAATATACAATTTAGAAACTCTGTAAAAGGGAAACACTCATTTTACTCTAGTAGGGATGAATTTCCACACATATTCATACTAGAGCATTAAGGATTGCAAGATAGCCAGAAGTCAGGTGAAAGTGTAGGGTACAGAAGGAAAAAGTCAGAAGTCACAAAATTTGGTATTGTCTGTTTCATACTCTCATAAAACACATGAAAAATTCTTCCAATCTTTATCTCATACATGAATCTGCTTCAAAACAGCCCCAAGATGTGTTCATTCCATATCCAGTGATAGAGAGCCTCCTCCTCTTTCTAATGAAGATGCTTGCTCTATTGTTAGGCAGTTCTAATCTTTAAAATTTGTAAGAATTTCAAATCTGCTTCCTTGTCTTTGCAATACTGTTGATGTTTGTCATTAACAGACTTAGACTGTCTTCTTGTGCCTATGAAGGCTTTCTGGATGCCTGAAAGCAGCTGTCCTGGTTCCCAATCCCAATGAAGCATTTCCTTTCACTTCCTATATTTTGCAAAAGACATGCAATAGAGATAATAATGAGCAGCCCATACAAGAAAGAATGAATGATGCATGCCCTTCAGGAGCAACTGTAAAAACATATACAAATAAACTGTAAAAGAATGAATGTGCCATGTGTTTGATGTGTATACAGTGGTAACACTTATACACTTCTGATGAGAATGCAAACAGTTACAGCAGCTTGGAGGAACAGTTTGCAGTACAGATATTTCTCATTTAGTGACCGAGTTAGGGTCCTGTAGCTAGGTCATTATTTGAAGGGGTCCTTACATCAGAAATTGTATGTGGTATGTACAATATAACATTCAAAACAAAGAAATGATCAAATGAAACTCCAACATCATGACTTTGCTTTTATTTGCACAACACTTAGGTGCAGCAGTATAATATATAACAGAACATAACATTACAGTACTGTGCTGTACAATCTAAGCTGTAAAAGTGACAGTACCATATAAACAAGGTGTGCTGTACAAGAAAGACATTGAAGCTTTATAAACAAGATCACAGAATTGTACAATAACAAAAAGATAAGTCATAAGTCAGAGCAGTGGGTTGTAAATCTGAACATTATACCTTGATTGTAAGTTTGAATAGTCATTAAACAAGTAAGTTGTTAAATAAAGATCATTTCTATTGTATAAAGTTAAACATTGTCTTACCACATGGCCCACTCTTAGGTACTTGAGAGAAATGATTATGGTATTCATGTCACAATGTATTTGTAGTATATCAAAGCATCATGTTGAAACCAGAACTGGTGGTGCATGGCTGTAATCACATCTACTTGGAAGGCTGAGCCAGGAGGATCACAAGTTTGAGGCCAGTCTGATGAATATCATGAGACACTGAATAAAATAAAACAAAATCTCCAAAACAATATCATGTTGTACACTTTAAAAATATATAATTTAATATGTCAATTATACCTCAACAAATTTGCAAAAATATATGTATGTACACAGAGGTGTATAAAAATGTTCATAGCAGCTTTATTTGTAATGGTCTCAAACTGGAAATAACCCAAATGTCCATCAAAAAGATAAAAAATATGGTGTATCAAAACAATGGAGTATTTCTGACAATAAAAAGAAATGATATACTGAGACATGGCATAGCATAGTTGAATCATGAAGCATGGATGAAGTGAAAGTAGCCAGACACACAAGGCCACATATTCCATGACCCTATTTATATTAAATACTCAAAAAAGGCAAATCTATATAGACATGTATACACATAAAAAGTGGTTGTCTCAGGCCAGAAATGGAGAAATTGACTGAAAAATAACATGACAGAATTTGGAGCATGATGAAAAGGAAATTTTGAAATATACATAATGGAGTACTGGTCAGTCATAAATAAGAAAGAATTTGAATTATATGCAGGAAAATAGATGGATCTTGAGATCATAATGCTAAATGAAATAAATCAGATACGAAGGAAAATGTTTTATTTTTTATCTCATATGAGAAACCAACAATATAAATAATTTGAAGGGCAAAATTAAAAAAAAACAGATGATAGGAAACTGGGAGGTAGACTTTGTGAATATGGGACTGAGATCTGGGGAAGGAGGGTGAGGAGAGTGTAGAGAGAAGAGGAAATAAATATGATCAAAAAGAGATACATATATGTACAAATTCTCCAAGATATATATAAATATTATGCATTGCAAAGACATACCAACAATAGCAAACAATTGAAGCCAAAAGAATTCTAATGAAAATATTCCATAGAAAACATTTTGTGGTGATGCTGACACAGACATATATTATCTGTCAGAACTCATTAACCATACAATTCAAGTAGGTGAATTTTATTATCATATATGTAATTGTACCCTTGATAAAGCATATGTATTTAAAACTAGCTATCTTTCATTAGAGAGTTATATCCCATAATATGCCTTTCTCCTTATAGGAGCATCTTGAAGAGTACAAAGGTCATCAGAGATAAAAACAAATGAAAGTAGAGAAAGATAAGCACCCTTGGAAATATGACGTACTAACAAGATGAGAGAAGTACACAATGGCCTTGCTGAAATCTTGGGCTCAGGATAGAAGGACATTACAAAGGAGCGTGCTGTATGTTATAAGCGAAGGCTGTAGTACAGTGACACTGACTTCCCACCTGTGATGAACATAAATAAGAGAGCTCTTTTCTTGTCACTTATAAAGTGTCTTT